TAATTTTATATGCTAATCTCTTATGTGGGATCTTTATTGAAAGCTTCTGAAAGTCTAAGTAAACCACATCCACTTGCTTCCTGTTATCAACTCCACTAGTTATATGCTCGAAAATTCCAGTAGATCTGTCAAGCATTATTTTCCTTTTTTAAATCTCAGATGACTTTGTCCAATCCTGTCACTGTCTTCTCAATGTTCTGCTATTTAAATCATTTTTTAGTGGACTGTAGCATTTCCCCCACTACTGATGTCTGGCTAACTGATCTACAGTTCCTTCATTTCTCTCTGTCATGCTTTTTAAATAGTGGGGTTCTATTAGCTATCCTCCAATCCATAGAAACTGTTCCAGAGCCTATAGAATCTTGGAAAGATGATCTCTAGTGCATCAACTATTTCTGAGCTCACTTCCTTAATTGCTTTGAGATAAAGATTAACATGGCCATGGGGACATATCGATCTTTAATCCATTAGTTTCCCCAATACCATTTCCCTGCTAATATTGATTTCCTTCAGTTTCAGGTTCTTCAGTAGATTTGTACCTCGTGTTGTGGATGCTGTGGTTGGTTAGCTTGCTGAGCTGGTTCGTTAGTTCGCAAACGTTTTACTATCCTGCTGGGTAACATCATCAGTGCAGCCTCCGATGAAGTGCTGTTGTGTTTTCCCGCCTGGTATATAAACAATGGGGTCTGTTGGAATTGGTTACCTCGTTTCTGGTATTTCTTCGCAGTGGTGTATAAAGAGGGTCAAATTCTACGTGTTTATTGATGGACTTCTTGGTGGAGAACCAAGCCTCCAGAAATTCCAGTGCTTGTCTCTGTTTGGCCTTTCCTAGGATCCTGATGTTGACCCAATCGAACCGGTGATTCTCCTTATCCATGTGAATGGAGACGAGTGAGTACTGGTCAGGTCTTTTTGTTGCTAGTTGGTGTTCATGTATTCTTGTGGCCAGTTTCCTTCCTGTGTGTCCAATGTAATGTTTGTCGCAGTCTTTGCATGGGATCTTGTATATCACGTTGGTTCTGTCCATAGTGGGTAAGGGGTCTTTGGTTCGAGTTAGCAGTTGGCATAGGATTGACATAGGTTTGTGTGCCACTCTGATGCCCAATTCGGATATGTTCTTGATGTATGGTAATGTGACGAGTGTGTCAGGGCATACTGTATCTTCCTGTTGTTGTTTGTGTGATAGGCATCATTGGACCCAGCTGTTCAGGTATCCGTTGTCCTTAAATACTTGGTAAAGGTATTCTTCTTCATTTTGGTGTAGTTACGGATTGCTTCAGTGTGTTGTCGCTCGTTTAAATAGTGATTTTATGCAAATCCATTTGAGGGTGTTGGAGTGGTTGCTGTTAAAATTCAGGACTTGATTTGTGTGTGCGGCCTTTCTGTATACCTTTATCAGAAATTTCCAGTTGGCCCTACTTTCTATCATGATATCCAGGAATGGGACCTATTCATTCTTTTCTTCTTCCCTGGTGCATTTGATGCCGATGACAGTGTTATTTATAAGTTGGCGTGTCTCCTCTAGTTTAGTCCATTTGATAACAACGAAAGTGTCGTCCACATATCGGATCCATACTTTAGGTTGGATCTGCGGAAGGGCCATGTTTTCAAGTCTCTGCATCACCGCTTCTGCTATTAGCTCGGAGACAGGTGACTCCATGGGAGTACCATTGATTTATTCATAGATTTGGCCATTAAAGGTAAAGTGGGTCGTGAGGCATAGGTTCAGTAACTTCAACATGTTGTCTGTGGAGATGGTGTCACTCAGGTCTCGTTCCTTTAGTAGTGTTACTAGTGTTTCTCTTGCCAGTGGTATGTCAATCGATGTGAATAGGGCGGTAACGTCAAAGGACACCATGGTCTCGTTCGCGTCTATTCTTATGTCTTTGAGGGAATTGAGGAACTCTTGGGCTGAGTGGATTGAGTGGGGTGACTTGCTGTCGAGGTGCTTTCGTCTTCTTGGCTCACCTGTGTGTTGGTGTGCCTTGGAGGGAGAACATTGGTCTGAGGGGTACTTCTGGTTTGTGTACTTTTGGGAGGCCGTAGAATTGGAGGATGTTTGTCCCTTCAGGTTTCATTTTTAGGTAGCCGACTTTGTTGATTTGTCCGGTCTGTTTGAGTCTCTTTAGTGTGTTGATTATTTTATGACCCAGAGACTTGAAAGCATAGCCCTTCCGCAGACTCTCACCAGCATCAAATTCACCAGGCAAGAAGAAAAGGACGAACAGCTCCCATTCCTGGATGTCATGGTAGAACGCAGGGCCAACTGGAAATTTCTGATAAAGGTACACAGAAAGGCCACACACACAGATCAAGTCAAGAATTTTAACAGCAACCACCCCAACACCCGCAAACGGAGTTGCGTAAAAACACTATTTAAGCGAGTGACAACACACTGAAGCAACCCGTAACTACGCCAAAATGAAGAAGAATACCTCTTCCAAGCATTTAAGGACAACGGATACTCGAACAGCTGAGTCCAATGATGCCTATCACACAAACAACAACAGGAAGATACAGTATGCCCTGACACACTCGTCACATTACCATACATCAAGAACATATCCGAACTGACCACAAGACTCCTACGATCATTGGGCATCAGAGTGGCACACAAATCTACGTCAACCCTACGCCAACTGCTAACTCAAACCAAAGACCCCTTACCCACTATGGACAGAACCAACGTGATATACAAGATCCCATGCAAAGACTGTTACGAACATTACATTGGACACACAGGAAGGAAACTGGCCACAAGAATACATGAACACCAACAAAAAGACCTGACCAGTACTCACTCGTCTCCATTCACATGGATAAGGAGAATCACCGGTTCGATTGGGTCAACATCAGGATCCTAGGAAAGGCCAAACAGAGACAAGCACTGGAATTTCTGGAGGCTTGGTTCTCCACCAAGAAGTCCATCAATAAACACGTAGAATTTGACCCTCTTTATACACCACTGCGAAGAAATACCAGAAACGAGGTAACCAATTCCAACAGACCCCATTGTTTATATACCAGGCGGGAAAACACAACAGCACTTCATCGGAGGCTGCACTGATGATGATACCCAGCAGGATAATGAAACGTCTGCGAACAAACGAAATAGCTCTGCGAGCGAACCAGCCACCCTTCCTTCAGTTCCTCTCTCTCACTAGACTGTGTGTTCCCTAGACTTTTTGGGATCTTATTTGTGTCCTCCTTTGTGAATACAGAACCAAAGCATGTATTTAATTTGTCTGATATTTCTTTGTTCCCCAAAATTACTTCTCCTGTTTCTGACTGTAAGGGACCTATATTTGTCTTCACTAATCTTTTTTTGCACATATCGATGGAAACTTAAACTTATGACTCTTGCCACTACCCAGGAGGATGAAGTAACAGGTGCATGGAGTCATCGTTACTCCTCTTCCATGTTTGGATATACATCACTGTTCCTTCATTATGAAGATCCTAGAACTCTCCTATCATTAAATATTGTGAGATTCTTTTATCATCGGAATGGCAGTGGTTCTTGAAGTCAGCCCACAATTATTATTTATGACTCAGGAGCCATCCATAGCCCAAGAATGAATATAAGATAAAAGCACAGCAAGTGAACAATAAACTAAAGTGAAATACTACTGGCCTGTGGCTCAATTTTAAATAAAGGATTAATGAGATATTTACATTTAGCATCTCGTACTGCAGAAAGTTTACATGCTGTGCAATATACAAGAACCTGCTGCAAACATATGTTTGCCACCACCACTGAACCATTTTCTCCTCCTCCTCAGCTTTTGCCTTCTAAAGGTACTGTTCCCTTTGCAACGTCCCGGTCAACCTCTAACTAGCCTTGAACACATTCTTCTTCCCATGATGCATTCCCATGCAAGCACAGGAGATGCTATTCCTCTTTATCGCCTCATCCAAGGCCCCCAACAGTTCTTCCAGATGAAACACAATTTATGTATACTTCCATTTTATGATACTGTATTCACTGCTCGCAATGTGATCTTCTTTAGACTGGGGAGAACAAACATAAAGTGGGTAATTGCTTAGAAGAGCACCTCTGTTCAGTCTGCAAGTGTGACTCTGGTTGCCTGTCATTTAATTCTCCACTCCATCCCACTCTGGCCTCTGCCTTCTACATTATTCCATTAAGTGTAAACTTGAAGAGCAATGTTACATCTTTCACTTTATAGGAGTCTGGACTGAATATCAAGTTCAGCAATTTCTGATACTTGCGTCTGCTTCTTTTTCTCAGGTGACAGGTTTTAAAGTGTTGTTATTTTGCATTTTTATCTCTAATCCTTATTTTTCTTTTTATTCCATTACCATCTCAGCCATGCACTTTTGTCTTTCTCACGTCTTCCATGTTATCATTTTAGATTTTCTCTATTATCTCCTCACCAAACCTCCATGCATCTTTACTTAATCTTGTTACATATCTAACATTCTTCCAGTTCTGATGAAAGGGTATTGACCTGAAACATTACTGATTCTTTTCCACAGATGCTTCAAGACCAAATGAGTATTTCCAGTATTTTTTTCTTTAGCATTTAGTTTTGACTTCCAGCATCTGTAGTATTCTGAATTTGCTTTGTAAGCAGTCTTAGTTTTGCCAAAATCGCAGCCTTCATTGAGAAATCGATTGACAATTTGTTGCTGTAGGTATATGTAAACATCTCACAATTTTAGTTGGGATTGTAATGCATGAATTTTAGAAATGTTTATAATTATGGTTCAATTCTTTAACTTTCTTTTAAAATAAGCACTCACCAATTAGATTCAAATGTTTGTTGAGAAAGTAGCTAAACTAAGCACTGGATAATAGTTTAAACTTTGCAAGGTAGTTGAGAATAAGGAGGTTGATTTTGAAATGCCCAGGTTACTGTCTGAACAATGTTTATCTTTCACTTTTAAGTACTCAGCACAGCGATGTGTTGGTAGCACAGCAGCACGTACGTGGAATTAAATAGAAAATTTGCTTATTTCACTTGTGTATTTTCTAGAAAAATCTTGAAGAGACTTGACAAATTCTCTTCACTGTGCATGGAAGCAAAGCTAATGCGCAGGTGAGTTGAAGTATTCAAAATGTAGCAGTGCATCTCTGGAAATGTTGTGTTTAAAATTTGCTTCGTCTCTTCAAATCATGCAAAGAAAATTGCTTTTATATACATTGAGATTTTTAAAAAATGTTCTCTCTTTGAAACTGCTCTCCACCCACCATCTGGTATAGTCCTTATTCTGAGGCCTTGCTGTTCGAATTATTGAATTGACTGCTGGGAGATAAAGTGACGTCCATTACGTATGATTTTGAAGTTACTTCACGTCTCAAGATGAATTCCTGGGATCGAGGGCTGTTCTGTGGTGAGAAATTGTGTAGAGTAGACCTAATATTTGCTAGAATTTGGAATTTAGTTTGGAAATCTCATTGAAATGTCAGTTTTCTTTAAGAATGTTCGACAGGATGCATAACCTAGAATTTGGTGTCATAGTCTCAGAATAAGAGGTCAACCATTTAGGACTTTCATACGCAATGACAATTCTGCCTCTTTCAACCTTTAAGGCATTGAGTTCCAGATTCCTACCTCCCTCTAGATGAGGGAAAAAAACCTCAACCCCCTGTAATCCTGCCAATACTTTTTATCAGTGCCATGGATTTCTCTTAAACGATATGCAATCTTCCTATTCATAATCTGAATAACTTTATACATTTCAATTGCATTTCCCTCCGCCTCCTCTGTTTCAAAGAACAGTCTACATAATATTTTCTCGTGGCTCAAATCCTCCATTCGAGATTACGTTATCCTAAATTAGTTTGGAAAATAGTGAATGTGACTACTTTATTCAAAAGGACGGGATACGGAAAGCAGAAACTACAGGCCAGTTAGCTTAACATCTGTCATAAAGTACATGTTGAACCTATTATTAAAGACGCAGGACATTTGGAGAAGCTTTTGGTAATCGGGTGGAATGAAAGGACCAAAGGTATGTTTGCTAAATTTGCTGATGATTCAAAGTTACGTCAGAAAGTAAATTGTGAAGAGAACAACAGGCGGCTACAAAGGGATATAGATAGGTCAACTGAGTGGGAAAAATTTTGTCAAGTGGAGTATTAAGTGGGAAAGTATGAAATTAAGAACCGCAAGAAGTGCGGATGCTGTAAATCAGAGACAAAAATAGAAATTGCTGGAAAAACTGAGCAGGTCTGGCAGCATCTGTGGAGAGAAATCAGAGTTAACATTTCGGGTCGAGTGACCCTTCCTCAGAAGTACGAAATTGTCCATTTTGGCAGCAAGAAGAGGTTGCACAATTTTTAGCGCTGCTGCCTCATAGCGCCAGGGACCCAGGTTTGATTTCAACGTTGGGTGACTGTCTGTGTGGAGTTTACATGTTTTCTCCATGGCTGTATGGGTTTTCGCCAAATGCTCTGGTTTCCTCCCACAGTCCAAAAATGTGCAGATTATGTGGATTGACCATGCTAAATTGCTCTATAGTAGCCAGGAATGTGCAGGCTAAGTGAATTAGCCATGGTAAATCCAATGTTACAAGGATAAGGTGGAGGCTGGGTTTGGACTGGATGCTCTTCGAAGAAGGAGGGGGACAGACTCAATGGGTCTAATGGCCTCTCCACACTGTAGGGATTCTATGATTCTAAGAATAAAGAACAAACATTTTATCAAGTGTTGATAGATTTCAGGGCTTTGAGATGTGGAGGGTCTGCATAATTTAGTGCGTAAATTGTAAGTGGTTAGTGTGCAGGTACAGTAAATAATTATGAAAGCTAATTTATTGCAATTGTGGTGTTATAAGGGAATTTAAATACAAAAGTAGAGAGGTTATGCTTCATTATACAGGGCACTGGTGAGACTGCATCTAGAGTAGTGTACAGTATTGGTCTCCTTATTTAAGGAAGAACATAAATATGTTTGTAAGTGATAGTAATCTAAGTAAGCATATAACCCAAACTATGCATATGTATGGATGTCACATTAGTGTGTATAGTTGTTAATAAATTGTCAGATATCTGACTCGGTCTGAGTCTCTGAAGTGTATGTTTTGAGGGCTAACATGTAGAAAACCGGAAGAAATGCATCATCTGGTATGATCATATCCTTTCTTTTAAAATGGTGGCCTAAACTGTACACAGTTGTCTAGCTGCAGCCTAACTGATATATTAATGTGTCTTTGATTCAGATAATTTCTGCTGCTGGCGTCCAAATAGTCTGGTTCTGACCCCTAACCTTCCCATAATTTAGTTGGGTTCAGACTATTCTGATCTCCTCTTCCAACTGTTTTCATTATTGGATACTGACAACTACCATTCCAAGTGTGGACATTTCATTTCTGTTGAATGTTGTCAGCTCAAAACTGGTGCAGAAAAATTAAGATTTGAAATTGCAATCCATGACCCGTTTTACAGAACCATACTTTTTCCATTTGGTACCCCACATAATGCGAGGATGATTGTTATGCAAGAAGATCTTTCGGTGAACAACCTTTCAGTGCACCAGAAAGACATTTTAATCACTGTAACTACTTAAATAATGCTTTTCTTCTACCCAAAAGGCATAATGATTCTAGTCATATTTCTCCTGCTCAGAAGACTGATTCCAGATCTGAACTAATTATCACCTTGCGTTTGTAGCCACTCCCTTTAGTCAACTCCACAATCATCCATCACTTTTAAGTCTTCTGTTTGCAAGGTTGAATCATCTGTGTGCTGTGTTTGATTTCACAAATTGTTTGATCATTCAAAATTGAAAGGAAAGAAAAGACCCCAGGGTCCAGCAAACCTACCATGAAGGCTAAGTAAATGACTAGTCACTTCCATGCCACCCACCCTCCAGACTTCAAATCTGAGTGAAGCAAAAAAAGAAAAGAACCCCAAGACCAATAAGGGCAAAAATCACTTGTTAAAGTTCCTCTTCAACGCCTGAAGTGATCAAAATCAGTGGACATGATCATGTGGACGAAGTGGAGAGAGACTAGATAGATTTTCCTGAGAGCAGAAATATTTACTACTAATGCTGCAATTCCAGAAAGCCTGTTGCTCTTTTCTTTGAATTAAAATACATAATGTTTATTGAGTCCTAAAATTTCATTTGAATTAGACTCATTCAGGCAAGGCTGCTGTATGATAGCGTGTGTTGATGGCAGTACTCTGCTATCAATGGAATCCATTTTATCCTCGATATCCCAAAGCCAATGAATTATTTTGAAATGGAGTAATTGTTTTGTAGACTTCAAAACTGCAACTGGTTTACACAAATCAAGATCGTACAAGCTGAATTGAAATAACTTACGCAGGTTCTTTCGTTGATATTGCTTGAAAGTCAGGAAATTGATCATTTATTCTAATTCTGGGCTAGAAGAAAGTTTTATTTTCCAGGCTGTCTGAATAGCTGCAAAACTCCCAGAAAGATAGCAAGAGTTTAAAATATTAACGTTATTCATTCTATTGAATTTATTGTTTATTTTATAGTCGAAACAGAAAATGCTAGAAAAATAAATCATGTCAGGTCAATGATCTTTCATTGTTCTAACTCATTGTCGCTCCATCGATCTGCAGTACGTTTCTTTCAATTTTATCTTCTTGTTTGGAAAAATGAATCTTATTAAGTACTGGTAGGATGGGTGAGTGGGTGTGTGGGGTTAGTTTAAGGTATATTTTTTCTAGTGCATGCATCTGTCACTCCAAGGTCAGGTATAGCAAAGTTCCCACATGGTCACAACATTTGTCCTTTTACTCTGACCTCAACATATATATTTATTTCATGTTCTGTTTGTATTTGTATTCTGAGTAAGAATTGTGAATTCTTGAGCTGTATTGTGCTCTCTACAGACTTTGGATTATGATTTCTTGAAACATATACAGAAGAATATTTAAGGTGCAATTTGTAGACAGTCCAACAAGGGATGGAGCTGTTCTGGATCTAGTTTTGGGAAATGAAGCTGGACAGGTGTTTGAGGTGATGGTGGGGTGCACTTTTTAGTGATCACAACATAGTACAGTTGAAGCTTCTTATGGACAAGAAATAGACAAATGAGGAGGGTACAAGCCCAATATGTTCCCTCTAAGGTGATAGGAAGGAGTAACAAGCCCTGAAAACCATGGATGACCAGAAATATTTAGGATATGATGATAAGGAAAAGAAAGGCTTTGGAAAGTACAAGGGGAACGAATTCGCTTAGGCATTAGTGAAGCAGAGAAAGTGCAGGATGGAGCTTAAGAAAGCAGTTAGGAAAGCAAAGAGGGGATATGAGAAAGCACTGGCTGGTAAAAGTAGGGAAAATCCAAAGCTATTCTATAAGTATACCAATGGGAAAAAGATAACCAGGGAAAGATTAGGGTCCATTAGGACCAAGGGCGTAATCTGTGGGTGGAAGCAGAGGCCATTGGTACAGTGTTGAGCCAGTACTTTATATCTGACTTTACCCAGGTATGGAACCCAGAGAGAGAACCTGCGAGGTACTTGAGCAAATTAACATTGGGAAGACCAAGGTATTGGAAGTGTCAGCAGGCTTAAAAGTGGACTTATCTCCAGGTCTGGATGAATTATGTCCCAGGCTACTGTGGGAGGCAAGAGAGAGAAAATTGCAGAGGCGCTGACCCAACTTTCTGGCCACAGGAGAGGTGCCAGAGGACTGGAGAACAATTGATGTGGTTCCAATATTTAAGAAGGATTGTAGAGCTAAGCCAGAGAACTGCAGACTAGTGAGTATCATGCTAGTGGTAGGGAAACTATTAGAAAAAATTGTGAAGGAGAGCATCTGTCTCCAATTGGAGAAGCAAATCTTGATCAGGTTTTGTCAGTATGGCTTCATCAGAGGAGGTCATGCTTAACAAATTTGATTGAATTCTTTGAGGAGATGACTAGATGCGAGTAGTGTAGTTGGTGTGATTTATTTAGATTCCAGCAAAACTTGTCCCACAAAGGAGACTTATTAAAAAAGCAAATGCATATGGGATACAGGGTAATTTGATAAAATGTATTCAGATTGGCTCAGTTGTGGGAGACAAAGGGTTTTGACAAGGCTGCTTTAGTGACTGGAAGTGTACTACAGGGATCTGTGCTGGGTCCCCTATTATTCATTATTTATATAAATGACATAGATGACTGTTTAGGGGTTGGATTAATAAATTTGCAGATGACACAAAGATTGTTTGTGGTGATTAACAGTGAGGTTAAATGTCTTGGGCTACAAGAAGATGTAAATGGGATTGTTAAATGGGCAGATAAGTGCCAGATGGAATTTAACCCTAAAAAGTGTGAGGTGATATACTTTGGAAGGAATAATTTGACACGAAAGTATTCAATGAATGATGTGACACTAGGAAGCCCAGTGGAACAATGTGACCTTAA